CATATAGTCACTAGATGCGGTCTGTGCCCTCCCAGCTCCCGCTACTGGAGTAGCCCCGCGTTGCAAGGCGCTGGCAGCATTCTGCATTGTGGTGGCCATTGACGGCTCACAACGGCCCCCTTTTCTGGAGAACCATCCGTGCTGAACAGGAGCAGCTCTATCCTGGGGTGTGTGTGTGGGGGGAGGAGTGGCCAGTGGTCAGTGACCAACCAACACAGCAAGTACTCCGCCGGCCCCTGCCTGGAGGTGAGGTGGGACCCATTCCGTGTGTGGCTTCTGCTCCAGAACTGTCCCTAGGCCGAGGCCGGAGCCCTCCCTCCCCCTCTCAGTATCACTTCCCTTCTTCCCCTGCTCCGTCCCGCGTCCCCATCCCCTTGTCCTCACAGCCTCCTTCAACACACTGCCAGCACCCGCCCCCAGCCTCGACAGCCAGACTAAGGTGACTGCCATCCTAAGGAACTCTGGCCGCGGCGTCATTTTGTCTGACACCACGTTGGAGTGATGTGATGCCTGTCCTGGCTGCGACGCTTGGCTGGAGTGAGTAGGTACTCGGTGGCTGCCTGCTAACGAACGAGTGAGCCAAGTGCACCTTGCAGCAGTAGCAAGGCACCGCCTTTGCGTTTACAGACTTTCTTAAGGGCTCCGGCAGCGCAATCTTGTACAGACTTGGAAAGGGGAAGTGGGTGTCTGTGTGGCAGAGAGGGGTGCCCTGCGGGCGAGTGTAGCAGCCCCTGGTCAGGAAGGCCACGGCAGCTTTCAGATTCTCCCGCGTGGCTCAAACCCAGGCTGCCTACCTCAGCTCACTGCGCGCCCAGGAGGGCAGCTTTGGGGGATGAAAGGGGCCCTGGCAATCCTTATGCTGGGGCCACACTGGTCAACCAGACCCCGCGGTTACCCTGTGTTTAAGGCACCATCAAGGTTGAGGGAACCATTTTTTTGAAAATGATACAATATTTGACACCGCCAGAGAAATATCAAAATAGTCATGGGAAGGAAAACGAGATCTTTGGGGCCCTCGTGTGCACCTAGTTTTCCATCTGGGATTGCTTTCCTTTCAACTTGCAGAGCGGGGTGGGCAGGAAGTGGCCACCTGGGAGCAAGGTGCCCTCCACCTGCAGCCGCAGCTGTGGGCCTGCCCGGCTCAGACAGGGGGGCAGCTGTCCTCGCTTTCAGTTCCCAGCCAGGGCTCATGGATCCCTCCGCCTGCCCAGGGAGGCGCATGCGATTCTCATGTTGCAGGAGAGGATGCCCACGACTAGTGAGGGTGCGTGGCCTTGCGCAAGGTCAGGCAGGCTCCGCAGCGTGGACTCCAGCCTGGGCCTGCCTGCTCAGCTCTGTGGCTGCACCGAAGGCTGGGGCTGAGGCGGCTGGTGGGGCCTTCAGATGGGACACCGGCGGGAGGTAAGGCCTGTCACCAACACGCAGACCCACGGCCCTAACCCTGCCCTCCTTGTTTCTCTCTCCTCTTCCCTCTCTCTCTCCCCGGGACCCAGGGACTTGTCTCCACTTCCCCTTCTCTCCTCTGCCTCTATTTTATAGAATTTACATACATATGAAGGGCTGTGTTGTCATTCTGGCTTCGTCACTGGCCAGCTGTGGGAGTTGGAGCAGGAACACCCTTTAGCCAGCTCAGGGGCTTAGCTGACATGCGCATCTGAGCCCGCTGGGCCCCTTCCTCTTGCCTCACTCGCCACCCACATCCACCACGTCCACATTGGCTCTGCTCCCTGACGTCCTTCACTTGACTTATTTTAAAACTTCCTGATCTGTGATTTGTGCAATGACTCAGCAGGCCTCAGGGCGTCTGAGCTGACCGCTTGGTCCACTCACTTCAAATCTGTGCAACTCCCCTTCCACCCATCCATCTACCTTCTCACTCACCCATCCACTGCCCTACCCAACCTTCCACCCACCCACAGCCCACTCACCCATCCACTTGCTCACACACAGTCCTTTCTACGCTCCCATCGCACATCCATCCACACGACCCCAGACGTGTAGGACCTCGTCGTGTCTGCTCCAGGTCTAACGGCCATCCTCGGAGAGACAAGGACAAATGAGTATCAACTGCCGTGAGAGGATGTCATCTTCTATTCGTCACTGAGGAAGGCTGATGTTGACTCCCTCCCTCGCCCTCAGCTTTTAACAACTGCACCAGCGCAGCAGCTGTGGGCAGAGGAAGGAGTAGGTCATTAGCAGTTAACACTTCCCTGCCTTGGAACCTGTCCTAGCTGAGCAACCTGAGGCACATGACTCAACTTCAGTGTCCGTTGGAGACAGAGAAGTGAGACAGACTGCATGCAGCAAGAGGAGGGCTCGGGCCCCGTGGGTGGGTGTGGGTGGAAATGGACTAAGAAATCCCAGGGTTGCTGCATTCAGATTTCTGTTCTCTTCTTCCATGGAAAAGAAACGCCCCAGGAGACAGACTCCAAATTCTTCAGTTCCACTTCGCTCTGGCACGTCAGACCTGAATTAAACCAGCTTCTGCCCTAGTGTCTTCATCCAATATGTGGCAGATCAGGTGCACCCCCCCCACGCCCCCACCCGCTGGAATGGTCTTCAGGCAGCACCTTGGGCAGAGGAATGCCAGCAGAGGGGAAGGCTGGCTGCTCTCCAAACTCGCCCAGACTTTCTCTCGGCCTCTGACCTCTTGCCACAGGCTCAGCCTGGACAGAGCTGGGTGTGCCTGATCCCGCTCGGCTGAGGAGATGGGTAACTTGAGTTCTGCCCCTTCCTCGCTTATATCATCCCCCCTCAGCTGCCATCCTTTCTCTGGAAACGTCCGTCATGATTCACTGAAATGGGGCAATGAGGTTTAGACACTCAAGATCCTGGCTGGAGCCTCAGTGTCCTCATCTGTAAAATGGGCGGGTTGAATTAAGGATACACCCCGTTCTACACTTTGATGGTCTAAGTTATTCTTGCCAAAGGAGAGGTGTATTACCTTGGTTTTTCTCTGAAGTATCATGGGGATGAAGCACTATCGTCCAGTATTCTTGTCTTGTCCACCGAGTGTGAACCCAAGCCTGAGGACAGGGAGCAATGAGCGCCCAGGACTGAAGGCTCCTTCAAGGCGGAGGCCTCCTAGGTCCTCACCGGTCCCTCACGCCAGCCCTGAGTCTCAGGCTGCTGCTGGGTCATTCTGTTTCATCATTTATCCTCTCCAGAGTCAGGCCACCTCTTCCTTCTCTTACTGGGTTTTTCTGCCTTCGTTTTCCTCTTAGAGTCTAAGACTTAGACTTTACCAGCCCCCCTCCCCCTTTCCCCCTCAAACTGTCTTCAAATCTAAGGCCTTTCCCAGCCACATTGTGTCTGAGGCCTTCAGGACTGCTTTCCTCCGGGCGGTACCGCTGCCCACATTCTTTATCCCCAGGCCCCTGAACCCCCACTGCGCTGCATGGCAGGGCCACCCACCGCCTCTGTGGCCAGATCCGTGCCTTCCTCATTTCTCACCTCGCTGATGCCCAGCAGCCGGTGACACTGCTCACATCCTCTCTAGGCCGCCCTTCCAGGATGCCCTTCTCGCTCCTGGGCTGCTCTCCTTCACGGACTCCCTCCTTCTCAGCCTCCGCAGGCGCCTACTCTGCTGCCAACATCGGCATT